GCAAACATCTGCGAGACCGCAAAACAAAGAAGCGGACAACAGCGAAGGTACACGAGAAGACTGGAATACAGAGATAGTAGGTTTTTACAGTCTATTAATACCCTCATTAGCTAACCAATACTTCTGACCGAGGCCGGGGGATCGGAAACTCAGCTCACTCCTACTGCGCTGATAGTCGACAGTCTCATTTTAGCTAAGGGATCGTCAAAGGCCATGATCTGGAAAAACTTCAGGGTCCGTGTGTCTATCCCTGCATGAAATGTTGACTTAGTTCAGATCCTTCGGATCCGTCAAGTTGGGGGTTCGTCAGCTCCCTACTTACTGAAGTGTTGGAACCATTGTAAGCACAAGGGTTGCGCGCCTATTTACAGTTAAATATTGTGTTCTTAGGCTCACACAGTCAGTCGCAGCTTGCGTAGGCTATGTCAAGAATTTACTGGTTGGCAACATTGTCCCCTAAAACGGGTCGCGTGGTAGATGCGGTGGATCAACAGGGAGGCTAGATTGGAGTGCGGTAGGCGTTACCGAGAATGTGCAGCCACAAAATGCCAACATATTGGGTGTGGCAGCGAGATGGGTCGGAGGCTCATACTGCGCCCAACGGGGGGCGGGGCCGTCCTCCCCTTTTTGTATAAAAATCTGGTCAATGTATGGGATACGGGCCGGGCAGGTCAAGGTTGATTAACTATGGCTCGGTCTGCAGCGGTCGCATCTCAACTGTTGGAGACTATGATAATCTAAGTGAGGCAACATGTGCTCTGCAGACCAGATAAAATTGAGGTCGGATGAAACAACAAATATGTAGGGCCACAACCTACTCAAATAGGTATAGCAGGTATTATGTCTAGGCAACGGACATTTGGGTGCCCTCTCCCGATTGTTACCCCGGGCCGCCCCCTTTTGTGTTGTTGTATAAAATTCTGGTCAATGCATGTTGTAGACCATAGGGTGTGGTGGTACGCCTAGGTGCAGATTTTCGCCCTGCCGGGGTCACATGCACCGCCCCCCCCCCTGCCGCCTCCGGTCTTTTTGCCTCTGTCTTGACATTGGGCTCAGGTGGGGGAGGAGGAGGATAGAGTACGGTGGATTCTGCGCAAGTCCACTATAACTGGCAAATAACCCACGCGCATGTCACCCTTTCTGATCTCACTCGGCTGTGGAGCACAAGGTGGACATCGTCGGTAACGACGGTCGCATTGTCGGTTGGTAACACCAAAAAAGGATGGAGGAGCGTACACACTGCGGGGTAGACTAACTAGGCGTCTGACGCTTACAAAATGCCTTTCGGCTGTTCATTGTCATGGCGTGGCGACTGTAGCGCTAAGAAGACAAGTACCTGACGTGTTGACTGGCATTGTCAACGCGACCTGCTAGTTGGTTAATGATTTCTGAATGAGAGTAAACTACCCCCTAATTTGGTTGCGGTGCTCGGCGGGGCCTAGTAAGTGAGGGCGCCGCACACCGCGTTTGACTCCCGTGAGTTTGGTTGTTTGCTAAATGGCGGTCGCTCAGAAGCATCCGGGCCCGTAGGTAGCTCAACGCGACAATTGGTTGAGACAGTGTACGACAGCCATCCCCATACAACAACTGCCCTTCCGTGTGGCTGTCATCACCGTGGCCCACGATCTGGACAGCATGGATCACGTCACCAGTGCTAGTGTAGCGGGCAGCCATCATGACCGGTCTGGCGTCATTGTTCAAGACCTCGCTGCCTCAAGGTCATTCACCCTTTTGCAGTGAGCCGTTCCAGACGCGCTGACCTGATGTCACACCACGACCGACAGCTCGGGCATACCTGCTTCCGCACAGCCGCAGCTGCCTATGCGGCCACTGGGACGCACCCCATCCCCTACAAGCACAACCTAAGTCACTGGAACACCACCACCCCACGGACTGGCCACCACTTGAGCTTGGCCCACGAGCCTACAAAAGCCGCTGCCACCACCATCTCAGGGACTCTCAGACATGACTGGACGCAGTCAATAACAGCCCTGGCTTCGCCAGTGGTCACTGCCGCCTGAGAGGACAACTCCGGGTTCTGTGCACAATAATCCCCTCATTCTGCTTTCTTCTGTCTTCTCCTTCCAATCTGGGATTTGACTTGATACTTGTAGCTCACAGACTACACACATTCTTACAGCTGTGCCGCTACACTAGTGAGTGCTTGTGCATAGTTCTCAATCGGTTTCTCCACGTGGGCTGCGCTTTAGACACAAGCTAAAGGATCGCGATTGAATCACGTAGACAAAACTCATTATAGCCTGTGAATCAAACAAGCAGCAGCAGTCGTTTGCACTGCAACTAGCAGAAGAAGTCAACTCGCGTCATACTGAGCTCGCCTTGTGAGTAAGACGCAGGACCGGACGCGTTTACCTGGCAGTTGGGGCGGCGCAGAACCAGATCAGAATTTGAGGCTCCGCAGTTCGGCCACGACGTGCCAAGGCCGAGATTTCTGGCTATGGGTTTTTGTGTAGGATGCACGAGCGAATCTCTAGTGGACCGAGTCATCTACCTCTTGGAAAAACCTTTGCATCCTTCCGCGTAAGACAGTTCATTTTCGAGGAGAAAAGTGTCCCGTTTTGTGTTTCTCAGGCTATCTGCTGAGTTTGTTTATATTAGCTCTTGGACTTGGACATGGCGAAGAGAATCAGACATAACGGGTCACTTGTCCTCGCTGACCATAAGGGCACAGATGGCCAGCTACATGGAATGAACGTCGGGCCCAGGCTGTCACTAGTCTTGACGAGTAGTCTGATGTGACGTTAAGATGGAGAAGCTGGCCAAATGGCAGACGGAGTCACAGTAGGGGGGGGGACAGAAACAACACTGTTGCCGACTTTTACGCCCTTGTCGGCAGAGCAGCGCCAGTGCCAGTGGATGAAGAGCGAGTTTAGGCGCACACTTACCGGTCCAGATTCTTGGCAAGGTCCCACCACTGGGGCGGGTGACCATGAGCGAATGCTGAGCCCAGTAGGACGTTGGTGCCCTCGATGACAAAGATGCCCGCGGCCTGGGACTGCACTCCGCCGGGGCCACTGGGCATGAGGTAGAGAGCTGGTGGTGAGGGCTTGAATGTCTTCTGCAACAGTGTCAGTTCCTCGTAGTTTAGGCACTCGGTCTCGTGCTGGCTCCACTGTAGGGCGGCCATCTCCTTGCTCAGGGCATTCAGTCCTTCATAATCTACAGGGGGTGGGAGGAGAAGAAGCATCTTAAAAGTCGACTCTATGCCGCGACCTCAAGCAGCACCAACCAGGTGTTGACAGACAAGGAAGCAGGATATATGATTGAGAGAGGTAGGCGGACAGAGATAAAAGCTACTAGACAATTTTCCGTGTACTACTGAGTTAGGTGCTCACGCCGTGGATCGCGGTGGGGAGCATTCACGGTCACGCTGAAGCGATTGCAATCTGTCTAGCCCAATTGCAGGGCAACAGATGGATGTCCTGTTTTCACAGAGCCTCACCCAGGCGGTTGCATAGGACCGAGTAGTCAGCAATCAGGAAGTACCACCAAAGGGCTTTTGCCGGTTAGATGGTAGTTGGTAGCCCTCCTGGTGCTGAAAACTCCCAGTTACCTGTCTTACGGAACCGGTGGTAATAGGGGCTATACGGGTGGGGCAAATGAGTGGAGGCGTAAATGGCGCTGGTAGTGTATGCCTGGAATTGACGCTCCTGCTAAAGTGAAAGCCTAATTTAAATAAGCTGAAAAATGCAAGAAGGGTATGGAAATGAGCACGGTTAATTAGAACGGTATGCGGGATAAATGCAGCCTTACCCCAGATTGGAAAGAATAGCCACTGAAGGTAAACAACTAATGGGAAGAAGGCAGTGTGCCTTAAGGTCATTCCGCAGTATGTGCGATAGTACTCAAACCGACAGAATGGACATGAGAACACGAGAATCAAGCAACGGCACACAGGACGGCATAACGCAAACGGGGTAAGAGCTTAATGCCAAGAATATGTTTGGGCGGAAGAGAAAATCCGCAAATAATAGTTTCTTGCCACTGTGGCCACACTTCGAATTCAAACTATGGCAGTAGTTGTGTGCTATACGTGGGTGGAGAATCGGTAGACACCCTAGCTGCGCAACGGTTGTCCTTTTCGTACACGATCACGCCGGACTCTGCAGGAGATCTGGAGTAAAAAGACCCAAGGACGCAGGCAAACCGACAAAAGGGAGACCCGCGCCAATCCGCCTAGGATCGTAATGAGAAGCATGATGGATCCTACTCCGCTTAGGATAAATCTTTCGCCCTTTACTAAAGCTTAACGTGTGGGAAGTGCAATACGATGAATCTATATGGGCATTTTTGCAGCGCCTCGTTCTCGGGGCGGTTAACGTGAACAAGAAAGTCACCCTGACAGGGCTTCTGCGCGTGCACTCCCAGACATATTGAGAACGCAATCACAACTACTGAAATCGTAGTGCCTTAAACTGGAAGTGCAGGAAAGGATCGATAACTGGCAGGGCTACCAGCTACCATCCCGCCCTTTTGCCGGTCAACCGTACAAAAACTCCAAACCGGGTCGACCTGATGTTTGAATATGGGATTCTGTTGGCACCTACTTAGTCTGCCCCCCTACCATTTATGTTCTGAGCTCATGCGCCCTCTCGGTCAAGATCGGCAGTACAAACAGACGCGTGGACGTAGTAGCCTTCGCGGATCCGGTCTGCGAAGAGGACGGAACGTAGGCATTCCACTGGGTCTTTTGCGGCGCAGGCCTAGAGAGCCTTAGAGACCACGTCGTTAGGGACGCGGAGCTCCGTCTTGCACAGTCCGGGGCAGCAGATGCATGCCGTCATTCGTGTGCGCGACTTTGAATGTTCCTGAGCTCAACCGACAGGTCGTGAGCGCGATAGCCAAGGTGACAGCGCCTTACCTAATATTCGCAATAATCCGCCAGACCGGAGTTCAAGCATTGGACCTAGGGCTGAGATACCACCGGCCAGAAGTGGTCACCGCAAAGCCCCCCCCCCCCCACATTTATCAGTAAAATGCTGGTAAAACTGGCATTTGTAGTGTCCATCGACTTGCGACCGTCCTAGCCTGCGACACACAAGATAAGACAGAACGTTTTCGGCAACACATCTCCATGGAGCGAAGAGCTGGTCAGGCGCGCCGGCTACCCTGCACGCGCGTGGATGCGTGGGTCCACCGTCCTCCCCGCCGTCGTCACTGATGAGTCGCCTCGTGCGGACTCCTAGAGGGGTCTCACACGTGCCTGGCTCACGCTGGTCACGCACTCCAACCAGCGCTTGTTCGTCCCGGCTCCATGAAGGCCACCTTGTTCACTCTGTCTCCCTGCCTTGTAGTCGAGATATTGCGGGAAAATGTTAGTTATTCCTCTTTTTAAACCCACACCGACTTATGAGGAGTGATCATAGGCTTTTTCACCGTGGATACCTGGACCGTGCAGTGCAGAATACTTTAAACTGCACGTGGGTTGACTATACCAGAGTTACTGCCAGCCCTCTCTCCACCCCCCTCCGGAGTACCTTAATAAATCGCCCCCAGCCAACAGACGTGCTCCGACACCTACAAAAATGACGAATCTCTCGCCTTAGAAGACAGACAGACGGCTGTCGATTTTTCTGATGAGATCTGACAGTGCTTCCGTGAGGCTGTCGCGATCCGGCTTCCCTTCCTCTCTCTCGCCCTCGCCCTCCGTCTGACCGGTTGCCCCTCAAGCGCACGGGCATTCACAAACACACATAAGCGCGCCGGAGAAGGAAGCGCAGACACCTCTTCTGCCTCTACCGTTCATCTCCCCCCCCCGCCCCATCGGTGCGCCCCACCGCCACCATCAATGCGTAAAGCCTTCAGACATTGCTGCTGGACCGGGCGCAGCGGGCAAGCGAATGGCACAACAAAATCACTTTCCCTGCAGACAGATCTTATTGACCCCCTGTCTTTGGCAGACCGAGGGAATGAT